AATACCCGGTCCAATGGTGGTATTTGCATTGTTGCCAAGTTTACCGTTTCTAAGATGTCGTATGTAATTTGATTTTTTTAAATAGATGCTCCTCTTTATTTTTATTGTAATTAATTCAGCGTCCCAACATTACTAAAATCCCAAAATGTCAAAACCATTTTACTTGGTTTATGAAATATGGCAACACAGATGTTTTATTGCAAAATGTACAATATTCCCTATCTAGGGGGTTTTTAGGAATGCCCGATCCAATGCTGGTATTTACAATGTTGCCAAGTTTACCGTTTCTAAGATGCCGTATGTAACTGCCTGTAGGGGCATCCATTTAAAATCAAGTTACACACGGCATTTTATAAACGGTAAACTTGGCAACATTACAAATACCACCATTGAACCGGGCATTCCCAAAAACCCGCCAGGTAGGGAATATTGTACAAATTTTCCAAGAAAAAGAGGAAAGTAGGGGACTCATTATAGAGAAATTTCGAAATTTATTAGTGAGTAATCACTCCAGGGAAATTTCTGGAAAATTGACTTTTTCAAGTAGAATTAATGAATATTCATCCTCTCACATTTCAATTTTTTTCTGGAAAATTGGCAAAAGAGAAAAATTTTTGAAAAAATGACTTTTTCAAGTGAAATTGAGAAAAACTCATCTTCTCACATTTTATTTTTTTTCTGGAAAACTAATAAAGCAAAACTTGTGAATTTTTTCCAGGATCAAGAAGAAAATGGGGAGCTCATTATAGGAAAATTTTAAAAATTTCTAGTGAAAAATCACTCGAAGGAAAAATTCTAGAAAATTCAGTTTTTTAAGCAAAATTCAATTTTTTTCTGAAAAACTGGCAAAACAAAAATTGTGAATGTTAACAAATGCCTCAATTGTGGTAGTTGTCAACAAAATGCCTCAAAATTTCAAAAAAAAAAAATCGTAGTGAATCATAACAATTGCCTCAAGTGTCATTGTCATAAATGTCAACAAAAAAAAATTATCGGTTTTATAAGAGGGACGTTACATATATTATTTGTTTTTGTTTTTTTTAATTGTGCGGTGAATGTTAGGAAATGCCTTGTTTTGACATGTGTGTCACAATTCACGATGCTACAGAAAAATAAACTCGAAATTTGTGTAGCAAGACTAATTTTTTTTTTTAATTTTTTTTCTATATGCGGCATTTGGAGCAACAATATGTAGTGATGTAAAATGCAACAACACTAATTTGAATATTTGTAGCAACAAAATTTCGTATTGCTACAGACCAAAAACCTCGAAATCGCCTATATTTGGATATTGCTACAAAAAATTCCGTATTGCTACAGGCCAAAGAATTCGAAATCGCTCGAATTTGGGTGTTGCTACAGATCAAAACCTCTAAAATCGGGTGTTGCTATAAAAATGTTCGTGTTGCTACAAGCTGAAAATTCCATTTACATCAAAATCTAGAAATTAAACTGTCAAATTTGGACGTTGCTACAAAAAATTTGTGTTGCTACAGACCAAAAACCCCGAAATCGCATATATTTGAGTGTTGCTACAAAAAATTCCATGTTGCTACAGGCCAAAAATATCAAAATCGCCCGAATTGGGTGTTACTACAGACCATACCCTCCAAAATCGGGTGTTAATTGTTACAAAAATTTCATGTTGCTGCAATCTGAAAATCTCATTTACATCAAAATCTAAGAATTAAACTGTCAAATTTGGACTTTGCTAAGTAAAATTAAGGAAAATTCATCTCACATTTTAATTTTTTTCTGGAAAATTGGTTAAAGAGGAAAAAAAGGAAAGTTAAGAGCTCATTATAAGAAAATTTCAAAAATTCTCAAATGGAAAATCGCTTCAGGAAAAATTCTGAAAAAATTACTTTTTCAAGTAAAATTAAGAAAAACTCATCCTCTCACATTTTAAATTCCTCCGAAATCCTTTAAAATCACCCGAAATCCTTCGAAATTAACCGAAATCCCTCAAAATCGCTCTAAATCTGAAATCTTGTCACAGTGAATAATCCCTCGAAATCTTTCCAAAATCCTACCGAAATTCTACCGAAATCTTGTCACATTTTTCCCTTAATGAATAATCCCTCAAAAATCTTATATTGTAATTCCGAAGAAAAAAAAAATCGAAGAATCCCATTAAATTTTATGGTGTGAAATGTGACGTGCAATTTTTGCGGAGTTTCTATAGAATTCACATTAAATTTTAGTTCCTCTCATGTAATTACATGAAATATGAAATTTAGAAAAATTACATGAAATCCTGAATGAGTTGCATGGAGGAATTCTAAAAAATTACATGGAATTACACCGAAATTCTCAATATGAAATTTCAGTGCTCGTTAAATTACATTAAGAATTCTAAAAAAGTTTCTCTCTTATCGTTTCATAAGGAATTCCAGTGAAATTCCGAAAAATCCTAATGTAATAACGAATTTTTATTTTTATTCCAAGAAATTCCCAGTTAAAAACATGGCATTTTAGTGAAATTGAAATTCCGCAAAAATTCCCATCGATTTACTGAATTTTAGTAAAATTAGAAAAAATTTCACAAGTGGAATTCCTAGGAGTTTTCGGCGAAAAACTTGGAATTTCGGTCAAATTTGGAAAAATTCCCATGTAATGATATGAAATATCAATATATTTTGGTGAATTTTCAAAAAATTAAATTAAAGTGTCATTGATATTCCCAAAAATTCCTGACTATTGAAAGAGAATTTCAGTGAAATTCCGAAAAATTCTTATGGAAATAAATGAAATTTTGAAAAAAAAAAATTGAAATTTCATTGGAATTTCGAGAAATATCCGACTAATAACGTGGAATTTCAATGAAATTTAAAAAAATTCTCATAAAAGTTTAGAATTTCTAAGAAATTACAGGAAATGTCAGTGAAATTCCGAAAAATTTTATAAAAATTTTGTGGAATTGCAAGATATTTCAGTGGTGAAGTTTTTGGGAATTTTAGTAAAGTGTTAAAAAAATTATGGAATTTGGAATTTCTATAGAATTTGGAGAATTTCAGTGGTATTTCGAAAAGAAAAAAAAAGAAATATTCGCAGAATTTCCATCAAATTATATACACTTTGTGTCGATTAACATAAAATTTCGATGAAATGTCGAGTAAAATTCCAAGAATTCTCGTCGAATTACATATATAGAATTCCTTGAAATCTTATTGTGGAATTCCAGTGAAATTACATCGAATCCGAAAAATTCCTTTGGAATTGAACAGAATTCCGTGGAATTTCCATGGAACCACGAAAGATTTCGGCGGAATTCGGAAAAATTGAATTAAATTTTAGTGATATTCTGAGTAATTTCTGTCGAATTACATCAAATTTTAGTGGAATTCCGAGAAATTTCATGAAATCTTTCACTGTAATTCCGAGAAATTTTTGTACAAGAATTCCATTGATTTTATTGCGGAATTCCATGGAATCTTATGGTGAAATTCGAAAAAGTATTATGAAATCTTATATGATAAAATTTCTGGGACTTTCTGTTTTTCTATTCAAATTTGTTATTTGAATGGAATTTCGAGGATTTTCATAAAATCTTCTTTTGAAATTCTGAAGAATTTCTATGGAATTAATAAAAATTTTCGCAGAATTCCCATGGAATACTCGGGCAAAATCCTATAAAATTCCTTTAACATTTCCAAAAATCCTTTGAGATCCCCAAAAATCCGTTAAAATCTCTAAAAATCCTTTAGGATCTCTAAAAACCCTCCTAACTTTCAAAATCACCTAAAATCTTTTAAAATCCTGTAAAATCCTATGAAGATTTTCAAAATCCTCAAAATCTTACAAAATCAATGAAGATTTAAAATCTGTGTACAAATTTTAAGCAGTTCAACACCCCTTGGGTTAAACCCCTTTGGATTTTAATTTCAAAATTTTCAAACTCAGTTTTCTCGAAACTCGTCAAAGATTTTGGATTAATTTTTTTTGAGATTGTAGCTCTTAATAAGGGCTTCAAAATGGTACTTAGTTGAAGTCGCTGGCATTTACGGTTTTTGAGAAAATCGAGTTTGAAGTTTTTGACTAAATTTCAACTAAAATCCAACTTTGAGGCTCAATTGCTCCAAAAGTATTTGAGTTATCAAACTCAATCTAGCACTGATTTATAGAGAATTTAATGCTCTTTCCAAACATATAATATTTTGATTTGCTCAAAATTTAATGGAAGTATTGGCAATTGCTCCTAACCTTGTTAGGATTTAAAAAAAATTTAAACCTGAAAATTGAGATTTTCTTTTTGATTTTTTTTCCCTTTTGAAATCGAGATTTGGAAATGATGTTAGAATTTTTTTCGATTAATTTAAACCCGCTGAATCAATTGGAAAAGTCAATATTTCGAAAATATGAAAAATAAAAATTTCGAGTTATCGATTAGTTTGACTGAAACCCCCCATAAGCAACGCCACTGGCCAAACAAAATACATGGTGCCAACTTGAAAAAGAATCGGCTAATAGCAACAAGAGCCTGGAATAAACAGAAATTGAAATATTAAAAGGAAAACATGTATAAATTTATCAAAAGAACAAATACAAATTTATATAAAAATCAAAGAACCTCACACTATGGGTATTTGGTTTTCTGTCAAATAAATGAAATTTGTATGTTAATAAAGTAAAATTTTTATACATTATGAGGGATGTTTATAAAGTATTGTTAAAAATACATATTCAAAATTGATCAAATTTAAAAATCACCAGAAATTGCCATTTTTCAAAAAGTTTTTCACCAAATTTTTCATAAAATCTGATGAGACCTGGTATCACTGTTGCTGGTTAATAATAATTTTTAAGTAGGTATTCAAGATTGTAAAACACTATGCTATTTTTCCTTTAAGTAATAGTTTTTTTATGAATAATTATGGTTAACTAACTATGTTTTGTGAAACTAAACATTACAGAATATTAGTATCTGAATTAATTTTACCAGTGATGGTTAATTATTATTGTTTATATGATCAATGTAACATTTATTTTTAATTACTTACCACATCGTCTTTGGAATCGGCTTCAGCGAAAATGTTGGTCACGGTGGGCGGATGGGTTTCTGGTAAAATTCGTACCAGTTCCACTCCGATACCTTGCTAGAAAAAAAAAGAATAATTTTCAATTATTAGAATGAATATTTATGTAAAATAAGTTCATTTTTAAATAAAGATTGAATTATTATTGTTTTTAAACTTTTTTTGTCACTCTAATCAAACTCTAATGGCCAAATTATGGACCGACTGATAAGTGTCAGGTTATTACCTAGCACGTACTTTCCATGTTCTAGAGAATAGAAAGAAAGTACCTGCTAGATTACAACTTGATACTTATCAGTCCATTCATAATTTGGCCCTTAATAGGTACTGGGATTTACAAAAGAGGATCGAAATTCGAATTTTTATAAAAAAACATTGAGAGACATTTTCATATTTTTCTAAAGAAGAGTTGCATTGAAATGGCAAAAAAAAAAGTTAAAAATTTGAGAAAAAAAACTGTTTACTGATTTATTTGATTTGGTATATGAATAAAACATAAATATAATTCAAGAAAAATATGGAAAATTAAGATAATACATACAGATTTTTATGAAATTTTACAAAACTACAAAAAAAAATTATTAATTTGTTTTCTTGAACTTGACCTCAAAAACCCTCATAAATTTTATTCTCCCGACTATATTTAACTACTGAAAACGAGGACAAAGTTGTAAAATAGCCAAAACGGGAACTATTATCTCATCAATGGCGTCATCGAAATTCACTTTATTCGCCAGACTACATACATACATTTTCCAAGGCCCAGACTGACTGGGATTATTAGAAATTTTATATTTGAATACAAAAAAATATAATTTTGTCTACTTTATATAATAATTACATACAATGAAAATTATTTCCTTAATCTATATTTGAATAAGTACTACTTCAAGTACCTACTTTTGTGATGTACTTGTGCCAGCTCTGTTATGTAGGTACATAATTTCTAAGCCTAAGATGTACACCCAAAATATTAAATCAATTCTTACAGCATTTAAAACATTTATATACTTTTCCAAAGTTTGAAAGTCGCACAAGATAAACAGACAAAAATATAAAACTAGACAGAAATCACCTCGAAAAAAAAAAAATCTAATTTTAGAACTCTTTTGAAAATAAATATGTAGAACAGACATTTGTATGGGGCGCCATATGTTCCATAAATATTTCGTCTTATATGTAAGTAAAATATTTTGCAGGAAAAACAATATATAGATAAAAATGACCACTATTTTGCATATATTTAAAATAAAAAATAATATTTATATCGAATTTAGCAGCATGCAAAGTTCGATATATATAAAATAACTTTGAAAAAATAAATATATTGAATTTGGCCCCATGCAAAATTCAATATTTATAAAACTTGAAAAAATATTATATACATCGAATTTTGCACCCTGCAAAGTTCGATATATATAAAACTTTGAAAAAATATATATATTGAATTTGACCCATGTAAAATTCAATATTTATAAAATATGAAAAAATATTATATATATTGAATTTGGCATTGTGCAAAGTTCGATATAAAACTTTTTAGTTTGAAAAGTCCCCGAGAGATGGCGCTACCTTTGATCATAATTTTTGTTTGTGTATGGTGTGTTGGATTGAAATAAGGTATTTTGGAGGGCCGTTGATTTGTAATTTAAATAGCTGCAATTAGGGTGCATTGATAATTGCGTGATGATAATTATGTATTGTCATAAGCGCTGCAACGGCAACACTGGTGAATGATAACTGAGGTTGTGTTGTGTTCCTTTTCCTTCCGTTTGAGTGCCCGTTGATATTTTGTTGATGCTGCTGTTTCTGTTTTCGTTTTTGTTTTTGAATTTTGTGTTTTCGAATTATGCGTTTTTGGGATTTTTTCCGGAGGAAATAAAAAACGTGCCGTTTTTTACAAAATTTTTTTGTTATATTATTTATGGGAAAAAATCCTTGGTTACGGTCACCCCGGTTTTACAATCGACGGGTGTCCGATGCACAGTCGCTTAGGAACTACGGGCGCATGATGTAATCGTAAACATACCGCCCCCATTGGAATGTCTCTACATTTCAAAACTAGAGAAAAAAAACTAATTCCTAACTTAAGAAGTAACATTTTAGCAAGAACATCAAAAAAAATCTTGAACTTAAAGGGATATGAAATATTAAGGCTAATGCAATGGTGCAAACAAAATTATCACAATTACCTAGCGCATGACAATAAACCTCTAAGAACTTTGATCACAAATAAAGGTTAAGTTCAAGTTAAAGCTTGCTAACTTATTTATGCCATAATACACACACACTATTCGTCATTCGTCACAATTTGAATGTTAAGGCTAATGTTTCTCCATGGGCAATGGACAGAGCTTGGTAATGGCCCGCTTGAACAAACCATTTTGTGCTCGTATGGTTACAACCCGCACCAGGTTATCTTCGCCGGGATGGATTTCTACGACCCTGCCCAAGGGCCAATGCATAGGTGGTTCGTTGTCGGTTTTTAGAAGGACCATTGTACCCACTTTGACGTTTTGCTGTGGGGTACACCATTTCGAGCGTTGCTGCAAGGAGTGCAAGTAATCCGCGCTCCATACACACCAAAATTGCTGCACCATTTGCTGCAGCTGCTTGAAATACTTCAATCGATTGATGCTCACATCAATCACCTCATCTTGTGGACAGCTTACTAAGCTTCTCCCAATGAGAAAATGACCAGCTGTTAGAACTTGCAAGTCTGTAGGGTCGTCGGTTAAAGGGGTAAGAGGTCGCGAGTTCAGGATTGCCTCTACCTGCGTAAGTACGGTGTAAAAACTTTCATAATGAAGCGTAGCACCACCCATAACACGCTTTAAATGGTACTTAAAAGACTTCACAGCAGCCTCCCATAGACCGCCACAGTGGGGAGAGCGAGGAGGAATAAAGTGCCATTGAACTTTATTTTCGCTAAAATATTTTTTATATTTTGAGGAGCAATCTCGAACTGTAGAGCATAAACGGTTAAGCTCGTTACTCGAACCTTGGAAATTAGTAGCGTTATCGCTATAAATGTGACTGCATAACCCGCGCCTAGAGACAAATCTCTTAAATGCATTCAAAAAAGCCTCACCAGTCAAATCGGTCACAAGCTCAACGTGAACAGCGCGAGTGGCAAAACATATGAAGATACTCAGGTAACATTATAGCACAACACGGCTACGTGTTTTGCCATCTTTTAACGCGTACGGCCCTGCGAAATCTACACGGCACACACTGAAGGGACTTGAGGGAGTGACTCTGGAGGAAGGTAGTGATCCCATAAGTTGATTAATATTTTTAGGTTGGATGCGAAAACAAGTTATACATTTGCGCAGGATATTCCGAACTTCATTTCTGCCATTAATAATCCAAAATTTGTGTCTGATTTGAGTAAGGGTGAACTGAGTCTCACCATGCAAGAACTTTAGATGGTAAGATCTGATCAATAGTTGGGTAAATGGATGCTTAGGAGGCAGGATGATAGGGTATTTTTGATCGAAATCGAGGTTAGAATACTTTAATCGCCCATTTATTCTTAGCAACCCATTTGAGTCTATGATGGGATTAAGGCGAAAAAGTTTGCTGGTTTTAGGAACAGTATTACCAGCGCGCAAAAGCTGTAAGTCCCTAAGAAATATGTCCCTTTGGACAATAGCGCACAATCGCAGCTCAGCCGTTTGCCATTCGTCAATAGTCAAGTCTTTTGAACATTCCAAATCAGCATTTGATCTTTTTGCTTTGAGATTCTTATAAAACCTGAGCAGATAAGCCGTTGTTCTGATTAACTTACTGTAGCTAGAATAAAGATCGAAAATAAAAGCTTGATTTTGCTGAATTTCATTATATATTAGTGAAATGTTTTCCTTTCGAGCCTCTGGGATAGAGTCTATACCGGTGATAATAGTTTTAGGCCAGTTTCCAGAGGATTGACAAAGATACGAAGGGCCATGCCACCAAAGTGTGGAATTTTGTAATAATTGAGGGTTAGAACCGCGACTCAAAATGTCGGCGGGGTTCTGATCAGTTGGTACATGTCTCCATTGAGTGCTTTCAGTTAAATGCTGAATTTCAGCTACACGATTGCTAACAAAAACTTTCCAATTACTCGGTTCTTTATCTAACCAGGCCAGAACAATAGAAGAGTCTGTCCAATAGGTTGTTTGCTCGATTGAAATCCTTAGACTGGATTTGACTCGATGCATGAGTTGAGCTAATAGATACGCGCCAGACAGCTCTAACTTGGATATAGTTAAGTTGGAATTTAGAGGTGCAAGCCGACTCTTAGCACAAATAAGATTGGAACAAATTTGACCTTTACCATCTAGATGAGTCAGATAGATTGAGGCGCCATAGGTCGTTTGAGAGCTATCACAAAATCCGTGTAACTGAATATTCTTTGACATAGAAGAAAATAAGACACATCGGGGAATTCTAATAGAATTTATCGATGCTATTTGTTCAACGAAGTCCAACCAGCAGGCTGAAATATGCTCAGGCAAATCATCGTCCCAATCCACCTTGATTTGCCAGATTGCTTGTAGGATTAATTTCGCTCTCACAATAATAGGGTTTATCAATCCGAGAGGATCAAATAGCTGTGCCACGCCCGCTAACACGGTTCTCTTAGTGACCCTGGCCTGTCCAAAACAAGTAGGAAAAGCGTAACTAAGAATATCATCCTCCGGATTCCAAAATATACCTAAGGTCTTGATCTCCTTTTCACTTTTGATTTGAAATGGCGTTTCGCTACCTATATCGGCCAAAACCTTAACGTCATTGGACATCCACTTTCGCAGATTTAATCCCGATTTTTGCAAAACATGAGATATTTCATTTTTCAATTGCTGAGCCAATTGATGATTGTCACAACCAGTGATTAAATCGTCCATGTAGAAGTCATTGATGATGATATCAGAAATATAGGAATTTTCAGATCGACATCCTAACCCAATCTCGTTCAAAACCCTGGTCGCCAAGAATGAGCTGGGAGTAAGACCATAAACAACGGTATTCAATTCGAAATGCTTTATGCTTTGTGAGGGATGTTCCCGCCATAAAAT